CATGACTATTGGATGTTTTAAATGAAAATTTTTATCTGGAAATTTTGGGATGTTACAATTAAGGCCAAAGATATGATACTCTATGTTTATCGAACCCAAATAACAAAACCAAATAATATGAAACACTAAAACCTACTTCTCAGAGTATTTGTAACAATTACAACTATTGTAATAAAAAAATGAAGATTTATTGATTACTTAATTACATTACGTTCATGTTTATCAACCGATGATAGACTAGCACAATGAAAGATTATGATATTTGCTCTTCTTTTTCGAGGTGAAAGATATGTCAAAAGAGGAAAATGATGAAAATGAACTTTGTGATAAGTTTTGATACAAAATATAAGTGTGTTTTTCATAAAAGCCGGTCAACGGAAACGTTAAAAATAACAAGGTTATTTTTAGTTTATAACAAAATCAAACCATCTAGGATTCATTTATAGATGTTATAATGATATTAAAAACAACTAAATAGTGTTTTAGAATGACAACATTTGAAGTCTTTGAACCCACTTGGTTTTGGGGTGTTGATGAAGATAGCAAAAATTCAAGAATAGAATTTCTTTATGTGTATCCACCATCAAGAATAAGACACTTGAAATGCTAGTTCCTTCTTGTATAAAATACTTCTTAAGCCTTTAAATGCTTAACTCAAATAAACACTAAAGAAGAAGCACTTTAGAGCATCATTTCTTCACTAAACTTCAAAAGACAAGAAGAAGAGATAGAGAGAGTATATTTTCGGCCTTGAGAAGGAAGAGTAGAAAACTAGTCAAAAACTCATGAAAAAACCTTTCTTTTATACTCTCATGTAAGACATACATTTATATTATAATAACATAAAGTAGTAGTAGCATTTTAGAAGCATGAGGGATATAAGAAGAAAGTTGACAAGCAACATCTCTTCTTATAATAATAATTTTGGCCATGCCTTCAAAAAAGACAAATATTGTCTAACTAGTAAAGTAGAAGAATTGTTTAAATTTTATAAACTCAGTTTATAAAATATATACTTTGTCTTTAGGTAAAAGACAAAAGGGTTCAACTAATCCAAAACTTTGTACATGACTTATTAAATCTTGTCATATAATATAATAACTAGTTATACTCTCTTTTAATTATTATTTTCACAAAACAATAATTATTCCCTAATTAAATACAATAATTAATATTATTTATTAATAATCATATTAATAATAAATATACAAAATGTGACAATTTGATAAATGTGTGACCCTATATGATCATATATTATTAGCAATATCACTTAATAATGATTTTTGGACATATAGATTCAACGTCGTGGGACATTTTATCTTAACTTCGTAGTTCGTGAGGAGGGTTTCGCGGACGACATTGTCATTTTGTTGGTGCTCAAAAAATGAGGGTTTCCTTAAGATATACTCTTCAAATATATGGTATTGTGCATAAGTCTTGCTTTTTCTCTCTTTAATTTCAAAATGTTATTAAAGTTTATAATTTAAATGAGTATGTGTAATCTTATTTTATTTTATTTACATTTCAAATTTTAAATTTTGTCAATACGGATTCAACTTATTTGTTTAACTAGGTAGGTTTAAAAACACATTTTAACCCGATGTTAACCCATTTATATAACAAATCAAGTTTGAGTTAGAAATATTAAACTATTTAGTTAAACATATTGGATTTGGTTGAGATTTTCAACTGATTTAGTAGACGGGTTAAAGATTTGAATTCAAACCCATGTCAAATCAGATAGACCGATTGTCGATTGCCACCTCTACGTACGTTTTTGTTTTTAATATGCAAATATATTCATCAATTTATAAGTATATTAACTATTTAATATAGCAAATTTATAATTTTCCTGAAATTTTTATAAATGACTGTTAGTGATTAGGATTTAGGCCAAAACCTATTAGGATTTAGGCATTAGGGTTTACATATTATTTATATATTTCTATGTAATTGTCTTTTGAGTAATTAAAACAACTGGTTATCTATTAAGGTATCAGAGTTATAGGTTAAAACTCTACTATTGACAACAACTTGCAACCGCCGCCTTCCGCCTCCAACGACCTTCTCTAGTAGTTGTCGGAGCCTCGGAGGTGCCTTCATTATGCTTAATGTTTTTTCCTTTTCTTCTTCCTCCTCCTAAATAATAATACAATCGCCGACACCAAACAAGAGCTCATTCATTGGCTTTTTCTACTGTCTCGTATGCTTCTACCTCCTCATCGGATGACCCGTACCTCTGAGCCTTTTGTCTCCTCCTCGGGTAGCCACTCTCCTCGACTGACCTCTTCTTTTTCGGATCTCTTTTCCGAGTCAGCCTCTTCCGATATTGATGTTGCCTCCCTCTTATGGTACGCGAGAACAAGTATATTCATTTGTGATTCCATGTATTCATTTGTGGAGAAATGATAAATTTTTACGCATAATCAACATTAATATGCTTTTTCTCTTCATTTGAAATTAATGGCGTAAAAATTTATCATTCCTCCACAAATGAATACATGGAATCACAAATGAATATATTTTGTTCTCGCGTTCTCAACCTTTTTGGTGTTCTCATTTGATCCTACTCCTATATATATATATATATTATATATATATATATATATATATATATATATATATATATATATATATATATATATCAACACCGCTGTTGTCGATCTCGTCAGAATTGGCTCCGTCTGACGCAACTCTCTCTCTCTCTCAACCTTTCTACGAACTTCTGTGCCGCCGGCTCTATGATCACTTTTGTCGCCGTCGGCTCTTTTGTTCTTCTATAATGGAACCAGCGCTCCGTTTTTTCTCTCTTCTTCTCCGACGAGTAGTCACTATTAGTCGTCATCGCCAGAGCTTTGCCGCTATCTACATCTATGTTTTTTTTCCAGTATAATCGTATCCTCCTGATCAAACTGGCGCTCGGGGGTGGGGTGAGGGTGGGGGGGGGGGGTAGTGATTAGGGTTTAGGCCCGAACCCCTTAGAATTTGGTCGTTAAGGTTTATGTATTATCTCTATATATTACTATGTAATTATCTTTTGAGTAATCAAACCAATCTATTATATATCGATACATAAAATGTTATAACTTTTGTGAAAAGTTTGCATAAAATGACACACATGAGGAAGATCTCAGATATTTTGCATAATTTTCACGGTTAACCTTTTCCTTTTCCATTTTCTTGCTTCATTTACTACATGGTATTCGACTATCAAAATTCCAAAATCTACTTAGAACCAAGTTGACTTGAGATAACTAGTGGAGTAACACTGTGCCAGTGGTATTTGCTAAAGAAAAAGGAGATGACATTGGCAGTGGTGGGTGGAGGTTAGTTGGCTGAGGCCTGAGTGGAGGTGGTTGTTGTAGGTGAGTGGAAGTGGAACAACGGCAGATGGTGGATAACAGACTTTAAGCGAGCGGAGGCAGATGTTGAGATGAACACAATTCTATTTCAGGTACGTATTTTATTTATTTATTTATTTTTTTTCATTTTTTAGAATGAGAGTGTGTTCAGATTATTAAAGTTGTAAACCGACGAAATCATCAAACCGTTTACTGTTTCGGGTTTTCTTTATGGGTCAAAACTATTTTGGACTGTTATTGGTATATATATGTTGGCCCGATAATCTATAAATAAATTGAAAACCATTATAAGAAGTCATTAGAAATAGAATGGTTCGTGCTATTCTTATCTGATAGAATAAAATGATCAATAAATAATCTTATTTCTTTCGTTTCCTTAATTTTCATAAGGTGTTCTTTTTCGTTTCGTTAATTTTCAACCATGATCCCGCCGTTCAAAAATAGAATCTTAATTGGGTTTTAAAATAATGAAATTGAAATGACTCATTCAAACAAGTTTGTTATATGAAATTTGAAAAGTAAGTTAATCAAATTATAAATAAATGTAAATCCTTTATAAAAGCAAAATTATTTGAACTATATAAATCAGTCTCCTAATAGATTATGTTCATCAATCTCAAAGAATGCGTCCCAAACATTTCCTTCAAGTAGACGATAAGTTATAAATCTAAATCGCAGATTCCTCCCTCACATGCATTTACTATATGTTACTAAATTGCACACAAAACATATCTTATTTACGTTTGAAAAAATATATATAATATGTATTTCAGTAACCAAAAAAAGTTTCCTTATCGCTTTAAAAAGAAATTGCTAAGGAAAAACTATATACCATTAAATCTTAAAATAGATTTATAATAAAGAATATTTTTAGTTATTTTAGAAAAGAAGAAAATAGTTAAATTTAAGTAGTAGAATCTTTATTGTTAATGAAATATGTATAAATAAAACTAACTTATTATTATAATATATTATTCAATCCCATCAAGTAACGAAAAGAACAATAAATCCTCGTAGAACAACGAAAATCAGCCTATAAAAAATATTTTTATACCATTTCTACATGGCAAACAAACATGTTAATTAATTAATGTATATGAGACGCTACCAAACTCAATAACCAATGTGGAATGGGTAATCACAATCTAGTTCTGTAGATGGTATACAAAAGCAATTAAACCCAACTAAATAACAAATTCAAAGCATGTGTGATGCCGAAAATCATGCAAAGAGGAATAGATTATTATATGAAAATTGCTCTAGTATGAACATCAATTTCGTTATTTAATGGTAAATTGGAATACCTAAAGCCCACCTTCTTACAAGACATATGAGTAGACAAGAAGTGGGCTAATGAAGCCAAGTATCTTCTAGGTAGTACTCAAACATCTCAGTTACCCACGATGGACCCTCAATCTAACAATTGACACGTGTCAAAAACAAGGTTAAACATATCAGGATTGACTGAACCAAAGAGGGTCCCATAGACCTTAATTGGAAAGACCCATAAATGTTGTGGGCCCATAAAAGGCAGTAGAATGAAACATTCGGACCCATGACAAGATTATATAATCAGCAGCAGACAAGACTGCTGGTATTTTTTCTAACTAAATTTGTCTTTTACCTACAAACTTCATTGCCTTTTTAAGCAACTCACTTTTGCAACTTCAACAATTCCCCAATCGATTCCAAGAGAGCCATAATGTCTACCCGAAGAACAAGAGCTACTAGGAACAAAAAAGACGATGAGCTCCATGACCTTGTGTCAAAATTACAAGCATTGCTACCATCTTCCAGTTCTAGCTGCAATAACACAAGGGTATGTTTGTAATTTAGTAATTTACTTACCAGAAAATTAATCATTACATTAGGAATCCTACACAAGAAAAAACAAAAAAGGCATAAGCATATGTGATATATTACTAGGAAACGATGATACACTTGGAGTTACAATTACCTATTTGCACTTGTTATGATTCCTTTATTTTGGTAATCTAGATAATTGACAAGTAGTCACTGTTTTTATTTTATGGGTATATATATAATGAAATAGGTATCAGCATCAAAGGTTCTTGAAGAGACATGCAATTACATAAAGAGCCTGAGAAGAAAGGGGGATAAGCTAGGGGAAAGGCTATCTGAACTACTGGATTCTATGGAAAACAATGGTGTTGATGTTGATATTCTCAGAGATTTTCTGCAACAATAGTGTGTGTGTGTGTGTGTGTGTGTGAGGGTGTTCACAAAGGCAAGCAGATGCATATGTTATTTGTCTTATTATCTGATTGTCCCATGTATGTACACTTTCTGTGTAGGTTGTTGGACTCAATCAGACAGATAATAGCTATTTAAATAATACAGGTATTAATATAATAGTGTCTATTTTGGTGTTTCTCAATGGGAAAAAGCTCATGAACATTAGTAAACTATATTGAAATTGAGTATTGGAAGGAAGTCAAATACGTGGTTGACCATCGTGATCTAATCAACGTTTGCATAAAGTGAAAATACCCATCAGTTTGTATTGCACTATTTCGGGCACATTTGTAACATATATATAACCACTTAAAGACTCTGTTGTGCCAATTATAAATGACTAGAACAAATTAATTATCTCGTTCAAAAAAATCAACCTAATATCATTGATTCTAACGTTTTATTTTAATGATTGAAAGGATAGTTAAATAACGTTGATTGATTTGGGAAACATGTGTTCTTGGATGTGTTTTGTTTTGCTCTGCTGCATAATCAATCCGTTTACTGTTTGGGCTTTTAATGATTTTGATTTCTTGATGGGTTTATATGTTAGCCCAATGACTCTAAATAAACTTAAAATTATTAAGGTTGTCTGTTGTGGGCTTCAAGCAACAAACAACCATGACCTTGTGTCACAAGTATTACCATCTTCAAGTTCTAGCTTTGCAATAACACAAGGGTATGTTGGTAATTTAGTAATTTACTTACCAGAAAATGATCATGACATTAGGAACACAAGAAAAAACAAAAAGAAACAGGCATACATCACTAGGAAACGATAAGCATCGAGATTCGAGACCAACGCAATTGGGAGTTACAATTACCTTTTTGCCCTTATTACAATTCCTTTTTTTTTTATATCTTATATCCTACTCTTCACGACTCTTTCGACCTCAGTCAAAGTCAAATGTCTTATCTCATTCAGCTTCAGCCATCTTTCCCCTCCTTCAAAACTTCCATGAAGCAATCTATCCTCCATTTTCAACAACTTCAACCCCTCACTCAATTTCCCAAAAAACCCTTCAGGCCTCAAACACCAATTTTTAAAAACCCCATACAAAACCATCAAATCATTCCCAAGTCTCTCCACACCACTATCAGAAAACTTCACATAACCCATAAAAACACCATTAAAAACAAACAAATCTATCGCACTCGCCACCTGTCTCCACACTCCAACAAAATCCATCTTATTTAAATTCATTTCCAATATCGACATTTTACCCTGAAGATAATCAAGTGCAACAATAAAAGATTTGGAAACCCCCCAACCTTCTTCAGTTTTTTCCATCCATTGTTTTTTATTTTTTATATATTCACGTGAACAAGCATCAAAACCCCGAAAAACAACCTTTGATAACTTCTCAACCCATTCGGTTCTAAATTCCTCCAATTTACATATTTCATCATCAAATACACCACCATCTGATCCCATTTCAAGGAAAAAAACTTCTTCACACCACTCTTTTAAAACAGACTCAAAATAACGGGACCCGTTTATACATTTTGTCACTTTAATCAAAGCATCATCATCGGTCAAAGCGGTCAACCCTTCAGCTTCTTGACATTTCAGAAGTAAAAACTCCAAAAACCTGTGTACAATCGGTGCACCTGCTAACCTAAGAAACCTTGCTCTCATTGTGACAGCTGGCAGTGATCTACACCGTTCGATTATCGACGATAAGCGTCTTAAAAAGGCACTTGAAATTGCGGGTGATTTGTAACCTTCTGAACCTAAAATGTTGACTGATTCTTCAACTTCTGTTGACCATTTTTTCTCATCTTCAAGTACAGGTGTCAATTTCTCAATGGCATCACTGAACTCGATTTCAGCCCATAAATCAAGCCAATCAGGTCGATCACAAAACACAGATAAAGAAGAAATATTTTGCATGTTCACATCTTCCTCCAACATGATTCCCGATTGTGCTACAAGAGATTTGATTTTTTTATCGAAAGAAATCATTAAATCGATCAAATGTAGCCATGATATTCGGTTTTCAGTGATATTTTCCATATATATTGGGAAAATCTCCTTTGCCATGTAGGTTGATAATGATGTCACCATGGCTGAAATCCACTCTTCCCTACAAGAATAACCTGAAAGATTCGCTTTATCAACTAAAGGCTGCAATAACTCATCCATTGAGTCAACATAATCCCGAGTTATTTTATGAACTAAAGCAAAAATAAGCTCGGGTTTTTCTCCCCATTTTGAAAAATGGCGTTGTGATGCGATTGAAATAGGGTTCACAAGCTCTTCAATGGCCCAAAGTGGCTGATGAGTGATTTCAAGATTACCATTATGCCCTTGAAGTTGTCGGATTTTTCTTTGTGTTTGTAGCTCTTGTAGTTTGCATAGTGCAAGAAAACTGTCACAATATTGGGTTTTGAGGTCGCCTTTCATTGTGAAAAGGGGATTTGTGGATTCGGGTGATTTTTTTGGTTCTAAATTGGAAGGATTTAAAGTGGAGAGAGGTGGGGGCCAATGAAGAGAGGTGAGAAGGGAACGATAGTCTGCAATTGCTTGAGGTCTTAAAGTGGCTAATGCTCGGTCAACTCTGTGGTCAACAGCTGAAACAAGGCGGGACCATTGAGGGCGTGTTCTTGATACTTTTGTTAGAACATCTTCTGCTAGTTTGAGGGCATTAATGGCAATAAATCGCGCTTCCTGTAAACAAGTTTTATAAAACATTACTTCATAATAAAGAAGCAGCATTTTAACAATTTTTTTTTATTTCATTACCTCTGAATTGTGGGCAGATGTTTGCTTTCTTAAATTTTTGTTTACACTGGAAGAGACAGCATCTTCAATGTCCCCAACTAATGTATCAAGTTTTAATGCTGTTTCTGAAATACATAATGATCAAAAAAGAAAATGAAAATGGAAGTGGTATAAGATTCTTTCTATTGTGATTTCTATATTGATAAAGAGAGTAAAGTGGAGTATAACTCACCAGCATAAACTCGAACTGCTTCAACCCTAGCCACTTCACGAGCAAGTGCTGGCAACTCCTTCCCCAAAAAAGTTTCTGACTTTTCCCTTTTCTCTCCTTTCTCTCCATCTGAACACACATTCCAGGTAAGTAAACAACAAAATAATTATTAAAAAAAAAAAGGATATTTATCTTGTTAATAGAACATTGAATATGTATACATGGAAAACTGACCTGAGATAGAAGGTTGGAAACTGTTCAATTTGGTGTTTATGTCTTTAAAGAGGAGACCCACTTGATCTGAGTGTGTAGAGTAGGCAAGCAAATAGGTACCGAGGTTTTGGTTCAAATCTGTGAGGCTCTGATCCAAGACATGACAATCATTCTGCAACTCAGAAACTAGTCTAGAAGCTTCTTGAAGATCATCAGTAGTGTGTAGTTCGGTGTCAAGGAAAGAGAGAACCGCAGGAGAAAGAGAGGAGACTAAAGGGAGAGGTTCGATCATAGTGCCCTCTGTTAGGGTTGATGACTATCGGACGTCACTCAAAAGCTGGATTTCATTACAGTATAACCTGCTACAAGACTGGAACAACAAAATTGTGAAAAGTTGATCTTGCTATGTTGATGTTCAGAAAGTAAAGTCTATGGTAAAACAAAAGACCCAACTGTGAGAGCTAATCTATTGACAATTGGTAACAATCGAGAATTCAGGCACATAAAGCACTCATATATGATATCTTTCATACCTGAGTCTCATATCTAGGTTTCTTGTTACATTGGATTTGAATCTATGATGCAGATTGAGATTTTAAATCGACGATAAAAAAAAAACAAAACAAGAAATTAGGGCTTAATCGACTAAAAGTAAGGGAATTCGGACTTACTTGTTGGTTGGGGGAAGCAGCTTCGGTGGCTTTGTTCGCTCCTGATCTCTCTCTCCGGTGTCCGGTGAGCCGGTGAAGTTCTGGCCCCTTCGACTTCGTTCGAGGGTGTTAATGGATTGTTGAGCCCACGTTTGTTATGTTAATCACGGCCCATTTCTAATGCTAATTAATCGCCATCGGCTCTCAAAGTTAGATATTAGAACTAATGTGTATTATAGGGCTGGGCTAGCTGGGCCAAAGGGCAACAGTTTGAAAGTCTACTTGTTATGTGTTGGTATGAATTTGGGCTCAATTTTTTTTTATTAGATAATAGATATACTTATACCTTTGGTCGAAGTTCAACTCAGCGCATCGCCGCATCGGCTTGAAGGAAGGTGGCAAAAGAAACTCATTGCTATGTTGATGTTTAGAAAGTAAAGTCTATGGTAAAACAAAAGACCCAACTGTGAGAGCTAATCTATTGACAATTGGTAACAATCGAGAATTCAGGAGATGACACGCTTACGTGAAGCAAAGTAGGGATCAAAACCACAACAAAACCACAAAATAGGGATCTTTTTTGCTAATAAACTTTTTTTTGGACCTTACCTAAATAAAGTAACAAACCACAGGGACCATTTTTGCAATTTAATCTATAAATTGTTACCGATATTATCTTTCTATATAATCACTTTTCATCAATCATATTATTACATAAAATGTTATTTATTAACTTCGTAAACGTTTAGTATTGATTGCTATTTTATGTTATTCTTAGTCAATCTTTTGTATTTTATGTTATTCTTAGTCAATCTTTTGATCTTTTCAAATTTGGTTCATTTTTCTTAAATGTTATTCTATTGGTTTATCATAAACAAAATTTCTCATAACCCATTAACAAAATGTGCTCATCTAATAATATTAGACAAAATTTCACAATTGCTCCCTGTGGTAAACAACTATAATGCCTTTTTGTGGGCAATTGGATGTTCAATGTCCAACTATGGTACCACTCAATAGGTCTTTTTGTGAGCAAAAACCCGATAGTCAGAAAATGTAGTTATTGTGATCAATATATTTTTCTTTTGACAATTTCAAAGGATTATTCACTAATAGGCATGGCAATCGTGTCGTGTTCGGGTTGGCGTGTCGCGGGTTGGCGGGTTGGCGGGTCAAAATATGTTAACCCAAACACGACCCATTTAAATATAAAGGTCACGGGTTGGCGGGTTTGGAACATAAAGCCATATATGACCCGCAAACCCATTTATTTATACGGGTTCACAGGTTGGTGGGTTCGTGGGTCAGATTTGGGATCGTGGGTCAGATTCCATAAATAAAATTG